CCTAGATGTAGAAAAGGGAACATATCCCCTTCCCTATTATGATGAGGACGTAAAATTAGTGTCGCGAGAGACACAAAAAACGACCATCCCACGATTAAAGCAGCCCCGGGTGTATCAAACTGAATGTCAAAGTATTCATCCAGTCCTTCCATCATATCCATTCCGCGGGTTTACCAACTGGCTTGCAGTTAAGATAACTATATGAGTCCTTTAATTTCACTTATGGATTTGCTGCTTCTTAACTGTTCTTATAATTTATGGGTGGTGGGGAAGCCTAGTGGTTAAAGCGTTGGCTCTTCACGCCGAAGACCCGGGTTCGAATCCCCACATGGGTACAATGAGTGAAGCCCATTTCTGGTGTCCCCGCCGTGATACTGCTGGAATATTGCTAAAAGCGGCGTAAAACCAAACTCAGTCAGTCAGTCTTATAATCTTATGCTCCAGGATACACTTATCGAACTGTGACCGCAGAGGTATGACTGAACACTATCATATTTGATTGTTTTAAATATTAACTTTTGAGGTTTGGGAGAATCAAGGAATTGTAATAGCAATCGATCTATCTAATCAAAACAGGTAGACTTGCATCCCCACGTTTCATTGCAATTTGGAATGTCACACATACTCGCACAGAGACAGTCACACACATAAGCACAAAAATACACACACAATACTTCATTGCATATTTAAAGTTTTAAGTTATAACCTACCACAGAAATGAAGTTTCGTTTGATCACTCTATGCATCGAGTGATCAACAGGTAAATGCACGCTTGGATCACTTTTTGCTTTCTCTGACAGTAAAGTTAAAACACCCTGTGACAACTATACACGGCGTAATTAATGAAGGGTCAAACTATTGGTAACACTTTTTCTTAAAAGTTGTAAAATATCCGTTTTTGTTTGAAATATATACAACTGAATGTTTTGCAGATTTTCTTAGTGTGGAAAACCACACCAGGCCGTTGAAATGTCATTATTACGTTCTTTAACGTCTCGATCAAGCATTTTGCAGAGTATGGACCCAAGTACCTATGGCCTTCATCAACCGGCTAATTCATTCCATGTACATCCGATGCAACGCCGTCATCTTTCCCCATGGAGACCTCACACGATACTGCCTTTGAGGTATCCTAATGGTACCATATTTGATGATTTTGTTTGTGTGAACTCTAAATGAGATTCCTGAAACTGTGTTAAGCATAATTGTCAAGTTTGAACTCAATCCTCCGTTTTGATTGTTAATTAGAACGAATTGAAGTATGTGCTTTAAGAAACCTCTAAACGCGTTTCTTTTGCGTTTCAGTATATGTATGTTAGGTGACCAGTGAAAATCCGGTTAGAACTTTTTCAAGATCTTCAGCAACAGATTTCCAAGAGGGAACTAGCGAGATCAGGTGGTCAGGCTGGCTGACGTGGTTGATGTAATGTCATCGTATCCCAGTTGCGTACATGCTCATGACGTCAACCAATGGAGAATCTAGTCCAGACTCGATTATTTACAGACCGTCGTTATATAGCTGGCATATTGCAAAGTGCGGCAGTGAACAAACAAAAGAATTTTTTTTTTAAGGTTAACAACACTACTTCTGTCAGCTGAGATACTCTGACAGGGTAACTTTCCCACAGAAGATCCAGCCAAATCTTCGAAACAATATGTTCAAATTATCGGCGTTTTACATGATGTTTGACTGAGGATAAGAATATTGAAAACAGAGCTGGAAATAAGTTGTATAAGGTAATATCACTGAGTAGAAGTGAAATATATTGTTCGATTCAATCATTGCCGTTATGTCTGTAACATGAATTCCGTTTTTATAGTTGAAGTAAAGATCGCAAAGATAATGTACATATATTTTACAATAATTCATAAACGAATGGATCGCCTCCGTAGCGTAGTAGTTAGCGTGTCCGCCCGGAGAGCGAATGGTCGCGGGTTCGATCCCCTGCCGCGTCATACCAAAACACGTTAAAATATTTAATTTCTTCGTTCCTGCCTGGCGCTTGGCATTAACGGGTAAAACAAGGACTGGTCGGATCGTGTAATGTGTCTGTGTGGGGTATTCATGCTTAACTGCGGCATGGTATCTCAGTGACCTAGCACTATTAAACCAGCTTAAGTCTGGGCTAGTACAAGCAGTCACACATACACACGCATGCACGTCATCATATGAGCGAAATATTCTTAAGTGCGACGTTAAAACCCTATTTCACATTCACCTTCATAAATGCATGTTCATGAATACCTTCGGAATCGTAATCAGACTCTGCTTATAACTGTGTTATGATTATTCGGATGGTCCTGTCGCTTATATTTTAATCAACGTTCAAAGCATTCGCTGATTCAACTTTTCATTCAACTATTCATCATTGTATTATTTTCAAACAAATATCAGCCCTTAGGGAAGCTACCATATGATTTATTCCCCAACAAATTAATTACGTATTTAGATTACAATATTGAATTAAAAAATCGAATGAATTAATGCAACGTTGCATTTAAAAATGACTCTCGGTTACCTCAACGTTCAAGCGAACCCCATAGAGTTAGGTCCCTTGGAGAGCTCTTTACAAATATTCTACGCACAACATGTGATTGAAACCAGTTCGGCAAAGACAGACAACAACGCATGCGACAGTTTTCGATGTACGGAGCAATTGTTTACATTCCATATATATATAAACTCTGTCAAAAAAGAAACGCAACCCCTGTATTTTAGAGATTTTGATCTGAAGTTTTAGGACGACACGGCATTTTTATTATTTAAGACAGAAGTCTGAAATTTGGCAGAATAATAACCCAGATGGGCATGTTTAAAATTGTCATTTCAAAAGTCATCTCACAGACACCAGTTTGTCACCAGGGTGCGTCTTTCTCAGTATCTCGTATGAGCACCACGCGCTGCAATCACTGCACGGCATCTCCTTGGACAAGAACGGATAAGACGCCGGATTCTTTCCTGGGGAATGGCTCTCCACTCCTCCTGCAGTGCAACGGCGAGCTGTTGCAGCGTCTGTGGCGGCGGCTGACGTTGACGTACGCGTCGATCCAGAGTATCCACAGGTGTTCAATAGGGTTGAGGTCTGGTGATTTAGAGGGTCATGGCAAGACATTGACGTTGGAATTCTGCAGAAAGTTGTTGCACGTGCAGTATGAGGCCGGGCGTTGTCCCGTTGAAAAATCTGTGTCTGTTGGTCAATAATCGGGAGAAGGGGAAGCTCTAACACGTGGTTGATGTAACGTTGGGCTGTCAGGTTCCCTGGAACGATCACCAAGTCTGATTTCTGGTTGTATGAGATGGTTCCCCAAACCATGACGCTTTCTCCGCCAAATCTGTCCACCTGTCGGACGCAGATGGGCGCAAAACGTTTATGACGTCTCTCCTATACAGACGCTGTCTTCCGTCGTGACGTTGCAAAAGAAAACGTGATTCATCAGAAACCAGATTCGCCTCCAGTTTTGTAAAGTCCGTATCCTTACGTTGTTGCACCACCTGAGTCGTCGGCGTCGATGTAGGGGGCGTAGTACAGGTCCAACAACTGGTCTACAGGCACGTAAACCCGCTTCTTTCAGACGGTTCCTAATCGTTTGAGCTGACACTCTCCTCAAACCTGGTATTTGTGTGGCACTCACGGTTGGTAGGGCATGCCGATTACGCAGGTGATGGACCCGGATGTACCGATCTTGAAGGGGGGTCGTGATTCTTGGCCTTCCACTTCTCGGGCGATCGTTGGTCAAATTGAAGTTGTTGTAGCGGCTCCAAAGTCGGGATATCGTTGTTTTGTGAACATTTAGGTGCCGTGCAACAGTTCCAAAACTTTCTCCGGCTTGAACACGACCAATGGCGATATTTCGGTCGGCAGCACTCAATCGTGGCATTTTAACACAGCTTTTCGGCGACAAATGAATGAATATAATACGGAAGCACATGGGCTTTTATACACCGCTACATTAACTGCCATTTTCATGATTTGCATGTGTTTTTGTGCGAAGTCACCATGAGGGTCATTTCATGCGTTGTGACGGAATAAGCAATAAAATACACTTATGCGTACAAATGCAGTTGTTTGGATGGTAATCTTCATTAATTACGTGTATCATTTCAATACATTCTGAATAAAATTTAGTTTGGAAGCAATAACTTCATTCAAACGAATTTTTCATATCTGAGGACAGGGGTTGCGTTTCTTTTTGACAGGGTTTATATATGCCAAATGTTCTCTGTTTGGAAGCTGTTTGCCTCGAAGTTTCAATTATCGATTTCAGGCAAGTCGTAAGGGATAATAAGTCTTTAGGAAGCTACAGTGAGTGCATATGCCCTAATATATATAAAATAGACCAAAATATTGTCGAAAACGTGTGACATTGTGCCTTCAATATGGCACATACGAAATAATACTTTGCATTTCACAAACTGAAATCGGACATTACTAACAGCAATGTAATAAATACATAGCTTGTTTAAAAATACGAACTTCTTCGTACAGTACTAGTGTGTATCTCACCAAGCCATCAAGCATAACTGTTGCTCCCCACATGGGTACAATGTGTGAAGCCCATTTCTGGTGTCCCCCGCCGTGATATTGCTGGAATATTGCTAAAAGCGTCGTAAATCCCAACTCACTCACTCATAACTGTTTGTACTCAATTTTAAACCTGTGACACACTGTGAAATACAATGTTATGTGCGCTAGCATACATACTTCAAGAGTCTATTCAGCTTTTAGGAACTGAAAGAAATCATGTGAAATATTATAAAATCAATACAACACATACTGCAAAACAATACGTAATTTCCTTTAGCAAGAATTATTGTCAGTTTTCCCAGGCAATGTAATGAATACATAACTCGTTTAATAATATGAACTACCCGTGAAGATCCGGGTTAGAATTGGTCTTCAGTAACCCATATTTGTTGTAAGAGGCGACTAACGGGATCGGGTGGTCAAGCTCGCTGACTTGGTTGACACATGTCATTGTATCCCAATTGCGTAGTACGATGTTCTTGCTGTTGATCACTGGAATGTCTGGTCCAGACTCGATTATATACAGACCACCGCCATATAGCTCGAACATTTCTGAATGCGGTGTTAAACTACGGACCAAACCATGAATAATATGATATAATTGCCTCGTAAAGTTTGTCTCACCAAGCCAGCAAGCATAAATGTATGTATACAATTCTGAACATGGTACACACTGTGACTTACCACGTTACGAATGCTAGCATATATACTTGCAGTGTCTATTCAGCTTTTAGGTACTTAGGAAAATTATTACTGAATATTATAATACCAGTACATGCAAAACAGTACACTACATGTATTTCATCTAGCTACTAGGCGCTATATAAATGAATTATTAATATTATTACATTATAGCAAGCGTCATACAAAAAGTGTTGGTAGTTTCTCTGACACATATTCTCGGTCATCTCCGCATTACAGAACTTTGTGGACTGAAACAGCACCATCGTCTCCACAAAGATAATCCTTAAAGCGCCTCAGCTCCACTAGTGTCCACTTTCCTTGCGATTCAAGAGCCTTCATATTGTTCCGAAATATGGCTCCTTCAGCATCACCATCCTCAGGGAATATCTTGTGGTAAGTAGCATTAATGATGTATCCTCCTGAAATGACAACATGGAGGTAAAACTGTGTATTAACATGAGAATGTTTTCCTATTGCAAGGCTGAAGCATTTGTGAAAAGTAAGTATGGTGTATGATGATCTCATGTTGAAAGAGAACTGAGGTACATGTAACCAATCTCAACTCAATTGAAACTATGTTTTCGATTTTTAATGATCACTTTTATGCACATCAGTTCAAATGTTTGTAAAGTCAGACACGATCCAGAGGGCATATGTGTTGCTGATTGAGAAAATGAACCTCGCCCTCTCATTCACTCTTAAGGAACAGTTTTTCTTTCACTTTTGTCTTATAACATGGGATAAATATGATACTTACCTGGCTTTACAATTCGGATAAGCTCCTCAAATGCCTTTCTGGGCAACTTCTTCATTATCACAACGGTTAACCCCGAAATCGTAACAGCATCGTAAGTGTCTGAGAAGCATAAAGCATGTCAGTGTTCACGTTTTCTGTGTCATATGGCGGAGGTATGACTTCTTCGCTGAACATGGATACTTCAATTCATTTTTCATTAATATTTTGCAGGATCTAATTTTCTATAATTTTTGCCCATTACATTCTGATGACAGCACAGCCGTCTCACGTTGAAAATAGTTCATACGAAATGCTTTTTAAATAAGTCTTAATCGATTGACCATTGGGTTAGTACAGCTTGTTCAGCTTGACCTGAGCTACTCTACATATGCATGACCCAGGAGGTCAAATGGCAGAAACGGCAGGTCGAGTTAACCTCATTAAATAGGGGAGCAGAGAATGTTAAACGGCGACCTTGTCTCGGCTGTTCGGACATGTTGACAATCAACTGACAGAGGTGCACCCCTTCACAATAATAGACCCAACCAGTTTTGACACGGTCACGCAAAGCATTAGTATTCACTTGATCAGGTCAAGCTGAACAAGCTGTAGGGGAATTATGGACATTAAAGTGTTTGCTCGTCACGCCAGAGTGAGTGAGTGAGTAAGTTTAGTTTTTACGCCACCACACTCAGCAATATTCCAGCTATATGGAGACGGTCAGTAAATAATCGAGTCTGGACCAGGCAATCCAATGATCAACAGTATAAGCATCGATCTACACAATTGGGATACGGTCACACCAGAGACCCCGATGTGATTGCCAACACAGACACAGTGTGTGAAGCCCATTCCTGGTACTCGTCGCCGTCATATTGCTGGTATATTGCTAAAAGCGGCTCAGAACCATACTCATTCCCTCAAATGACCGAGAGGGGATACATTTCAGAAACTGTTTCCGGATCAAGTACACATGTACCCAGAGAAATACGCACCACTTTCTATGTCGACGCTATTTTCTCCTAGCATCACACTGAAGTACCGACCATAAATGCCTTTCTTCTTTGCCTCTTCAAGCATTTGTACTGAAGGTTCAAGAGCATCGATTTTGCGAAAACCTTGCGAGCGCAGCTGGGAAATAAAAAGGTATTCTATTTGCATTCAAATTTCTGATGAAATGACTTTCTTTCTGAAGGGACCTGTCAGAGTATAAAGAACTCGCATCCATGTCTTCAAATGCCATAAACACAGAATACATGATTGATGATTTACATATCAATTTACCGATCACATTACAGAGTAGAGTTATTCTTGTTGACTGAACAACAGGAAATAAGCAACAGATTCATGTTAACCTCATCTCCACAAAGTCCTGTTCCGGCGGCAACGTCAAGAATATAAACGTCATGTCTGTTCTTCGGAAACCAATCAGCAGCAGATTGAGCACACTGGGTGTGACCTGAGAAGTTCATCTTTCCCAAAACCTTCATAGACAGCAACAAACACCTTTGTATGGAAAACGTTTCAGAAAAGAAATATATTATATATATTTGCGTAAAGCAGTTTGATTTAACCAGAAAAGGGGACGCAGACAGTCAACATCATCCCGCAATTATAAGTGTTGGTATGTCAAAATGATCGCAATATCATCGTTTTTACTTCTTTTTCTTAATGTACGTAACCTTTATTGACACGAGTCGTTCGAAATGTGCGATAAAACGTGTTGGAATTGAATTGGTTAAAATTACCCAAACAGTAAAGGCACCGAAATATTTATTTTGATGCAGGCGCCGAAAGCTTGACAGTTGTGCCAATAATCCAAAGAAATAATAACTTTAAACTTTAAACTTAAGCATAGTTCTCAAACAAATTATGTGTTTAACATACGACAATGACACTGTCAAATATTGGCAAACGTATGTACCTGAAATTGTTTACAACCCCAAACAAAACGTTTCAGGAAGCACGTCTGCAACATTTGAGTAAATTTAACTCTTTGTCAACTTAAACTCTATAAATTTAATTCATCAATTGTTGGAGATTTAAAGAGTTTGCTCGTCATGCTGAAGGGCACACCTTGAGTCCACGGTAGCTTGGAGAGAGGCGTATCAACATATTCACTCTTTCCCTTTCAGTCACTAAATGCATTAACCAAAGAAAATAATTACAAATGATGTCAGTTAATATTTTCCTTTTAAATCAGATGCAGACATATGGAAATACCGGAACAGGGTTTTTTTACTCATATTTAAGTCATGGAATGTTCAAGCGTTTCTTCAAAACCCACCTTCTCGTAACGATGACTGTTTTGGGAAAACCTATCGATAATGACATCTGCTTCAGTATAATCGTCTCCGCACAACAAATGAAAGGCATTTTCGGCTTCTTGCATTTCCTTCTGTGATGGGTTTGCAGTGAATTCCCTATCCATGGCTCCTGTTAGTTCTGGGAGTAAAGATTTAATAAAGCAATGAAACAAATCATGAGAATCTGTTGATATCAGAAGAAGAGTCAACAAGAAAAGACTTTAAAAGGCAACGTTGGAGGCACCTGGATAAATTAAGAAACTTAGTTAGAAGGACGTGAGATGATTCGGTGAGGCAAACTAATTTCAAGAGCGTCACGATGACAATACCTTCGTCTATTAGAGACTTGCCTCTATTAGAGATCGGTACTCGCATCGGGAATATGGTACTCTCATCTCCAGTGCATGGCATTTCATATCAAAGGCCTTTGTCATGTCTAACCATGTCTGGAAATGAAGTACGAGTGACGGACGGAGGAAACATGGTCCTATATATTGTTTCTATTTTATGGCGGATGGTAACGATATATCGTGATATAGCGAGAAAGCGCTTGATCCCAGAAGCGCGAGTGCGCGATAATTGCTCCAGTAAAGTACACTTAGGCTAGGAAATTCACCCATTCCTATACTGAGTCCAAATACAACTCCTTTCCATGTGTAAGACCTGTTCAGAAGTACCACTGAGCGCGTGGGTTTTATTGGGAGTCTCACCCAATTGCGTAAGGTAATGCTCATGATCACAGTATTATCTGGCCCAGACTCGATTATTTACAGACCGCCACCATTTAGCTCTAATATTGATGAGTTCTGCGTTAAGCAACCAGCCAACAACCAATCCGCGACAACAAATTGGGAGAATTGCAAAATAGAATGTTTGGATAGAGGATCAAGTCAATGCAGATATTATAACACTTGATTCATGAGGTATTTTGAGGGTGCCATGTGCAGTTGTTTTACCTGAAATATTGGGTGATGGCAGATACAACTTGTACCATGTTGTTGGTGATTGTTAATTAATGAATAAACTAAAATAAGGGCATTGTGGACTCAACCATACTTTGAATGAAGTGGAACCTACATCCCTTCCCGGAAATAATATAGCTTCCAGTCACATATTCACATTATATGAGGTGATAAGGAAATACATTACTTGTTTATTTCATTTTCAATTCTTTATCACGGCGTTGTCGTTTCACTTTGTAAATTCCATCAACAACGTTGTTTTTCAAATAATGAACATATTTATGGATCGTTTGCTTGGCATATATTTTATGGTTTTAATATATTTGTCATGAATATCAATGTACCCATGGCCATTCCTGATTGGCACGAACATTTACGTGCCACCAGTTAAGGAAATCCACACACACTCACACGTGCATGCACGAACACGTTAGTTTGAACTGATGCTGAACGCCGTACTCGGCAGTTTCCTAGCTATTTTCTAGTTCTGTAGATATCATTAGACTCGATGTCATCCATCGACCAAGTCTGCCAGTCTGTGATCAACAGCATGAGCATCGATCTAGACAATTGGGATGACCAAGTCAGCGAGTCTCGTTTCCATGTGAGACATTACAAGCAGATGTTAAGCAATTGGTTTTTCATCGTGTTTAGATATTCATATAAATATATATAATACACATCCCTCAACTGTTTTGTATTTAGATCTGGACTCATTCAAATCACAGCTGAAGACTCACTACTTCTGTGAAGCATACAAATACAACTTTCCGTCAGAGTATCAAGCGCTGCAGTGCAATTTATTCTGGATAGAAGTTTTTTTCGAAAGATAGATAGATAGCTAGTGATTGCATTATGTGTTCTTTTAAACGGCATTACATATCTGACTAATCCTAAAAAGGAAATTATTAAATGTGCGTCTGTGTAAAAACAAATGAAAACGATTCCAGTAGTTTTCTTTCTCTGTACTATTTGTATAATGATATTTCCCCTGAAGTGTCGGTCTTCCTCTGTGTCTGTTTCTAATGATTGCTTTCGCTGAGTGAGTGAGTTAGTTTAGTTTTACGCCGCACTCAGCAATATTCCAGCTATATGGAGGCGGTCTGTAAATAATCGAGTCTGGATCAGATAATCCAGTGATCAACAGCATTAACATCGATCTGCGCAATTGGGAACCGATGACATGTGTCAACCAAGTCAGCGAGCCTGACCACCTGATCCCGTTAGTCGCCTTTTACGACAAGCATGGATTACTGAAGATCAATATTCTAACCCGGACCTTCACGGGTAGCTTTCGCTGAAGTTTGGTATAGTAAATATTCTTGGAGAGAGGTTTTATGAGTTGTAAAAACTTGTCACCGATCCTTTCACTTTGTGAATAATATGAACTAAACTAACAAACAACACGTTGTTTGTCACAAGGGCAAGATCGGCCATGGATCTGTGTGCACCAGATTTTTACCCCCAGTGTGAAATATACATTTGCAGCATTTGAAATTGATGTCAATGATGGCTGTTGGTTGCTTATGTCCTTTCTTATCTACACCGTTGATCACTGGATTGTCTGGTCCAGACTCGGATTATTTACAGACCGCCGCTATACAGCTGGAATATTGCGGAGTGCGGCGTAAAACTACACTCACTCACTCACTCTTATCTACACCCGACCCCTACCACCTACCAGACAATGTTCCCACGTTGCAATTTGTTGTATAAAATTTGTGGATTGCAACGAATTTCAAAATGTGAACTCCCGAGTTGGACAGATTTTTGTTGCATACAACTTGTGGGAAGCGAGCTGCAAGCAATAGAACTTGCTCTATTTTCATGCGACAAATTGTATGATTGACCCAAACTACGACCGTCTCAAGCTTGCAAAGCGAATCGCTTATTCATTTTCAGGGTCTAAAATTCAAATAACACTTACTGTGTGAAATAGGGAACAAAGATTTGAATCTGTGTGCTATATAGTTCTTATTTTCACTTTACACAGCAGTAGCAAGAGCACATGCGTTTGTTGACATTCTGTCAAATTGTGACCTACATTTCAATGAGGGTCCCAATGTGTGGTTAAAACTAATTATTGTAATCACAATGTGAATACAGTTACCAAAGCTGGCATTTTAAGTATTTTGACATTTGGTAATTGAAACTTGTCAACAGCCATGTTAATAATTGATCATGTTTGTAAAATACATGCTTACACATTTGTACAATTTGTGACCAAATTACCACACTGGAGTAGGAAGATACTTCATGAAACAGCCCATGTTATATACACCAAAAACAAAATATCATATGCAAATGTATCAAAAATGTATTGTTTTGCATTGAGTTTGTTTAGGGGAAACATATCATGTATATACAATTAAGGGTATTTGAACACATGTATATTGAATGACATGTTTAAATATTATCACAGTACCTATACTACAATGAAAATAACTGGAAAGACCATGACATGTTCTGACACAAGCCGATAACCTACCATACATTGTTACAAGAATGTTACAGAATTTACCACCAATACCAAATTTTTCAGACTTGGATTGAAAGTAAATGTTTATTAACACACATCAAATTTATGAATATTATAATAATGAAACATGTCATAGTAAATCTTGCACATAAATTGTCTTTATGTTTAAGCTGATCAAGTTCCACTCAAGATATCTGCCTTGAGAACTTACTACAAACAAGCCAAGGAGCCCTAGGGAGAAAGAGGTCCAAAATCAGACTTGGAACAGCAGAGAGGGGCTTGAGATGACGTATACAGACCTCCTGGGAAAGTGGTTCTCCATGCTCCATGACCCATTCCTGCGAAGTCAGGTCACCCAAAACCCAGTATCAGTAACATGGTAAATAACCCATTTTGACTATCTTTATCGTGGTAATGTATTAAATTTGTTAAAAATGAATTTTATTTTACATAATACTAATATAATCAATTAAAATATTTTGGGAAAAATAGCAAGGTAGAGGGCTTGATTTAGTGCTTTGTTACTTGCACTGGTGCAACCCAATAATGCAAAGTGCAACCTAGCTATTATGCTAAATTGCACCAAGTGCAAGTCAATTTTTGAGAAGTACATTCAACTACATTGAAAGATCAGAATTAAGCATCTAAAAATAAAATTGCATATGTCTTTTATTATATATGTATAATATTGCATTTAAAACAATGCAACTGGAATTTTGGTGGTGCAACTTGGTTTTTACCTCAGGTTGCACTTGATGCAAGTAGGTAAACATCCCTTAAATCAAGCCCTATTGAAAACACCAAATACTGACTATTAAATTGGGCATGGTTTTGCCTTGCACAGTAAAATGACTTCATCATTCATGGACAAGTTTATTCAGAAGAGCACATGATCCCATTGCCAATCAACTTGCCCATTAGTGATGAAGTAGTCTGCAAATTCATCCCTGATGTCCCTTGCAGACTGGGTGATTCTATTCCCACCCTGCTGAACAAAAGGTGTATCCCTGTTTGATCCCAAATCTGAGCTAACACCTTCTGCAGGTGTACTAATATACTTCACATCACATCTTGTGCGAAGGAAGTTATGGGGCGCAACACATGCAAGAACAATCAGTTTGCCTGTGTTATTGTCTACACCCAGACTTCTCTGAAACACACCAAATCTACTGGTCAGAATGCCAAAAGCATTTTCAGAGACCCTTCGTGCTCGTGATAACCTGTAATTGAATATTTATTTGTCATCACTCATATCCCTGAAAGGGAAAGGCTTCATGATATATGGTTTATGTGGAAATGCATCATCCCCAACAATGACATAGGGAACTGACTCATATCTTCCCTCTAAAGAGGATGGACCAGGAACATTTAAAATGTTTTATTCAAGAGCATGGTGTAATGTAGAATTGGCAAATATTCCTGCATCACTAACTCTCCCATTTGAGCCAACATCTACATAAGTAAATTTGTAATTTGCATCTACTAGAGCGAGCAAAACTATGCTAAAATAGTTCTTGTAATTGAAGAAAGTGGATCCAGATCTTTTAGGAGCCCTGATAGATATGTGTTTCCCGTCCATAGCCCCGATACAGTGGGGAAACTGCCACTTGTCCTCAAACTCATCAATGATGATCTTCCACTCTGTTTCTGTCTGTGGAATCTGAAAGATACAAGAAAATATTTCCTTACAGGAAGCTG